GCCGCCGCCGACTGCGGAGGCGTTTCGTGTCCCCGAGCCGCCCCCGCCGCCGACTACTCCGGAGGCGTTCCGTGTCCCCGAGCCGCCCCCGCCGCCGACTACTCCGGAGGCGTTCCATGTCCCCGAGCCTCCCTAGTGTATTTAAGCCGTGTGCGTCTCCTGTCACTTGTCGCGTCATTGTTAATTGTCCTGCCTGCCTCTCGTTCCTGCCTGCCTTTTTGCCCCCCATTCCTGTGTGTGTTTTTGCCAGTTGGCCTTTGCTTTGCTTTGCCCTTTTGACTATTAAAGTCGTTTTGCTTTAAAACTGTGCATTTGAGTCCTGCCTTCCCACGCATCCCTGACACCCGTGGCTGTGTCTACGGTGTGTGAATGTTGGCCAAAGGCCTGATGGGTAGGTGTGAGTGTGAATGAAGACAAGTACTGTGAAAGTGCCTTGAGGGGTCAGTGCTACACATTAGGGCTGGGCCGTATGGCCTAAAACTCATATCATGGTATTATGCAAGTTTCGGGCGCTATCGCGCTTATTATTATTTTTTTTTAATGCTCCTTGAGTAAACTCATTCATTCATTGACGCCGATCGCTGGCTACGGCTGTCGCAATAATATTGACCTGAGGAATGAAGCCCCAGTGACAGCCGACTTTCCGGTGAACACATTTTCTCAAACCCTACCGCATCGCACCAGCCGCGAGGCTTCGCCCGCTCTGTGTCCCTTGCATTTATTGTTTATTTGTTTACAAAGACGCAGACGTGGAAGCATGCGCCAGCCTTCAGCTTTTATGGCTGCTATGTTGCCACCAGAGGCAATACCAGCGGCTCGACAAACTTTGCAATTAATCGTTTTCCAATTTACGGCGTTTTTTTGAAAACCAGAAAATCTAAAAAAAGACACAATGACTTTGAAGGCAAATGAATGTAAAAATCCAAGAGCGCAAATCAGGTCCATGCTCGCTCAAATCAAACATTCGTGAGCAAGTCTGTCTCGAGTTAGCTCACGATGCTGTTTTCTGCTCGCTCGCTCACTTTTCTTTTTGAGAGTAAGGGGGCGGACCCAGTCTATGGTATCTCTAGATCTAATTGGTTACAAATCTCATTTTTGGATTGGCTGGATTTCATCTCTTTTGAGAGCCAGTCTGTCTCAGCGCTGGTCTATTGTGTGATTTAAGAGGTAGTGTTTGAGAGGCTATGCGGTCTGGTTTTTAAGATAGACAGAAGGTGGGGGGGGGGGGGTGACCTTGGGTGGGGAGTTAGGAAAGATAGCAATGGTGCATTAGGACAGGACAAGAAGCGAGAGAGTTAATTGTGTTATTTAACAGCTCAGGAAACTGCAATACGGTAGTGATAGGTGATTGAGGTTGTGTGTGTGTGTGTGTGCCTAAGGGAAATCCTGCAGGGGTTTCTCCACTCCTTCTCTGCTAGGCCAGCAGAAATGGAGGGAGTGAGAGCCCAGTGGCAGGTCTGCCTACAATCACAGAATCCCAGAATCATTTAACGCTGGCCTTCTCAGGGGGATGGTGACTGCTGCGGAGGATCAGCCCGAGTTTCTGTTACTGTGTTGTCATGGCAGTTTAATTCCAACCTTAAACAGCGGAAACCCCTTGTATTGATCTTGTCCGTCTGGGTCAAATGAGTCTTAATTTCGTCGACGAAAACTATGACGAAATGTTTTCGTTAAAACCTTTTTTCCATGACTAAGACGAGACTAAAACGTGACGAAAAATTATCTTAAAAAATAAAAACTATGACTAGATCTAGTCTAACTTTCGTTAACGAGACGAGACGAAAATGTTGGTGGTTGACGAAGTCACAATACTTTTTCCCCCTAAATTCGCATGCAGCTGACAGGCAACAGACCGGCAAAGTACGGCGGATATTAACGTGTCATGATGACGTCATCCACGAACCCAGAACGCTCGGTCGCAGCGGTGGTTCTTGTGCACTGACTACGGACCGCGACGACTATTTTACGCTTCGCCGAGTTTGCATGTGCGCTTCCTTAGTTTAGCTCAGCTGTCTCAGTTTAGCTGACTGTTTTGACTGTTGTGCTTCACAGAAACATGAAGACCCGTTTAACAGCTCATGTCTGTTAACACGTCTAACATAATAAAGTCATTGCAGGTTCTGAAGCCTCACGCATTTCAACTATAGTTCACTCGCCACATCGTGAGAAGACGGTGTTAAACCGTCTCTGCCACCGTACGCTCATTACTAAGCAACATATAGGCACGCACACGCGTGACAGGTGGATCTTTTTGACAGAACTGCGCAGTGAAGGTGATGTGGCGGCACAGAGCAGGTGGAGGAAAACCCGCAGGACACAAGAGAGAAGAACTGGTCATGAAACCAACAAAGAGACAAAGAGAAAGAAAAGACTGTTGAATGAAAAGTGGAGGTCCAGTTTAGAATGGCTGGTTTATGATGCAGCCAAGAAAACAATGTATTGCAACGATTGTAGGATGTTAAGGGATCTCTCTTGTTGGGACAGAGGAAACAATAAAAGGAGCATGAAGTTTCCGGTGGCCGTGTCAAAAGCATTGCAAGTAAACAGACAAAGACAACAAAGTGTTGCGTTTAGATCTCTGGTCCTCATGAAGTTGTTACAACTTTGCCAATTTGTTAAATTGCCTTGCAAATAAATGCTTTGCTATTTGTTAAAATCCAAATCCTTTCATGTAATGATTTTTCACATGTCATTTATATCAGCTCACACAAACACTTCAACCATTTGTTCTTGGCCCGGCTCCTCCGTCACATTTTACAACCCATTGTGGCCCCCGAGTCAAAAAGTTTGCCCACCTGCTATAGAGCTGTCCTAGGAGGGACATCTAATGGACAACCAAGTACTGCAAGCTAGACTATTATGCAGTTGTAGACACAAAACAGGGGGTCCCTGGGCCTGGGTAGGATAGAAAAGGAGTTTAATATGGCTATTAAATGTGACTAAAACTAGACTAAAACTAATTACATTTTAGTCTAGTTTTCGTCGAAGAAAGAAGTATTAAAATGACTAAATGTGACTAAAACTAATATGCATTTTTCGTCTAAAGACTAAGACTAAATCAAAAACTGCTGCCAAAATTAACACTGGGTCAAATTGATCAAAGGATTCTAAAAATTAGTGCATGTGTCTTTACGCACAGTCGTGTCGACGCACTCTAAAAGGCTCTACGGTTCTAAAAGGCTTGCGTGTGTTGCAGAGCAATAGGTGGAGTAAAGTTTTTTGTCAAATACGACCTAGAAAGTGACGTGGAAGTCGTTGGTTTGTTTATTTATTTATATCATAGACTTTATTGCCCCGTGCATCGGCAGTGTTGCTTTTCATCGCGGACACATTTGTCCCGTATTTTCCTCCAACACTTTGTGCACCTCACGACCGGCAAACCGGCGCTTTGATTCCCTTGAATAATCCGTGGCCATCCTCGTGTCCTTATAGTCCGCCAATTACGGCTTCTATAAGTGGTCATATTTACGGATTTCTTCCGACAAAAGCTCTTCAATCTGATTCATTCTCTCGTAAAAAATCTTCGTTTTAATAACTGAGTATTGTGGGTATTGTGCTATGAAATCGGAAATGTGAGACTCCGGAAAGGATGTAGTTAGCAGACCAATCGCAGCCTTGAGGGCTGCAGGAAGCTTGCCACGAATTAGATTTGAATGGTTTTGAAATGTCAGAAGGCATGATAATATAAATAAGTGTAATTATTGACAAAGTAACTTTAAATAAAAGTTCACTAATTATTATAATTATTCCACAGGGATATTCCACATTACGTGTCACTATTGAATGAAAGGCAAAAGAGTGAAATAAAAAAAATGAATGCGAAAGTGTGTTCAGGCTCCAAATAAAGTGGTTCAGATAATTTAGCCGAACTGTCTGCACTGAATGCTGATGTCTGGCTGCTTTGACTGTGTTTTGTGTGACTGACAGATGTTCTCCAGATGTACGGATGATGCGACTGCAGTGACGAGAGGTGACTCAGACAGTGTCACGGCACCTATAAGTCCTTGTCAAAGCAGAAAGAATAGCACTTACAAACCCCCTAGTTTGTCTCTTCAAGCAAACATCAGATCAGAAGAGGGCGGGTGGGACGGAAGAGCGGGGGGTCAGGGGGCTACCCGGGGTCTGACCTGGCCCCCCTGGACTGTCCCGGTACGAGAGAAGGGATGAAGAGACTTTGGAAAGGGGGGGGCAGGAGAGTTTGATACAGCTGACATTGAATGGGGCGGGGGGGATAAGAGTGACAGAGGGGGAGGAGAGTGGGAGGGAGGAAGAAGAGCAAAGGGGAGGGTTTAGAGAGAGAAAGAGAGAGGGAAGGCAGGGACAGGCAAGAGAGCGAGTCACACACACACACACAATAAAATATACAGCCATACATACATGCTGCCTCTGTAACACACCTTCACACACACGCTCCTCACACGTGTGCGCTGAGGCAGAGAGGTGCCTTGTTTGGGAGGTACACCTCCCTCCCCCCGACCCGTCTTCCCCCCATCCCACCATCACGTCTCCCTTGCAGACACAAGGACACGCACTGTGCAGCTGGACTCAACAGAAACCAGACTGGACCACTGTCACCCACCGGTGGAGACTTTCAGCGGGAAAACAACGCCTGCACCACCGCCCCCTCCTCCCTCTCTCTCTGTGCGTCTCCTTCCATTCATTCATCCCTCGTTCTCCCATCAGCGAGGCAGCACGCGTGGCTGAAGGACACATCGCGCTGCGCTCAGCTGTGGGAGAGTTGGAGAGCTCGATGCGATAGAGGGGATAGAAGGACTCCCTCCCTTCCCGCTCCCCTCGTTGTTTCTGTGTCTCTGTCTGTCTCTCAGTCCCTGCGCTTTGTCGTTGATGAATGTCACCCCTATCTCTGGGAAAACGCTGGATTTATCAAGCCCCCTGCGTCCCCCCCGTCTTCTCTCAGGGAGTGGGTGAGCCACGGTGACTCGAGGAGAGCTTGGAAGACGGCAAGGGAACAAGTCGCACTTCGGTCCAGCAGCGTCCATCCGCGTCCATCCGTACCCCTTCATCATCGTCCCGGCTCAGAGCTGATACCGTTGGACGGTCTCCACTTCTTACACTTCTCTTTGCCCCGACACTGTTTCGGATGGAGACATTTTACACGTGAGGGACTGAATGAAAAGGAGCAGTGTCACTCCGGTTATTTTGGAGAGTTGACATTCAGCTGATTTTTTTTTTTTTTAATTTGTCCCACTGGAAAGCTTCAGGCATCTGGGCTGAGGGATTCAGTTGGTTAGGCTGACTAAATTTTGTATTTTCATCTGCATTCATCATGCATCAATTCGTTCTTTGGATAAATATTTTTGGACACGGTTGACTTGAACTTAAGTCTCCAAAAAGCTGCAGGTGAAGGGTAAGAGGACACTCGGACTGGGACGGAGGCACCGGGGTGCATTGCTGGGCCACCGAGCACTGTCTTTTGGGTGGATAACAACCAGACTTTTTCTGAACGATTCAAAGACGTATGAAGGCTTCACCTGAACCTTGCTCGCTACCAGCACGCGTACAACCCAGAGGACATTTTAAAGGCAAAAGCTCTTCAATCCAAACCTCAACCAGCATCACCTTTCTGCTGTGGGTGGGTCTTTGAGGGATCCACCCTTCTTTCTTCCATATTTTTTTCTGCCCTTCCCGGCTCCTTTGGTCCATCCTCAGAAGCCTCCTCCTCCGGCCTGCAATCTCCATCCGCGGTGCCCCGTCGCCCTGGGTGAGCGGGCAGGGGGGTGGCCCACTGTACCCCCCGACACCTGGGCGCCACCGAGCCGCCAGAGGCTGGTGAGGCGCCGGCGAGGTCGGTGCTTGGAAGATGGCCGCTCTCGCCAGCTCCCTTATTCGCCAGCGCAGGGAGGTCAAGGACCCCCAGGCGAACCGGCAGGTCGCCAGCAAGCGAAAGCCCTGCCCGAAGAGCAACAAGTCCCTCTGCCAGAAGCAAATCCTCATATTAATATCCAAGGTTCGACTATGTGGCAGTCGAGGGAGAAAAATGGAAAAAAGACCAGGTGAGTTACCGCCAGCCTCCCTCTCAAACCTCTCCCGTTTTTCTCGTTTCTTCTCATTTCCTTCAGCTCGCTCACCATCTCTTCGTCTTTGCTCCACTTTCTGCCTGTAATGGGTAGCTGGATTTGGACGGTTGACAACACGTCCTGTACGTACGGTAGAACAGGAAATGAGCAGAGTTAAATCCGACTTTGCACCACTGGCCGTGGGGCGGAACCTAGCCTATGATGGGACTCCGCTGTGATCAGTGCTGTAGTGGTAAAATTAGAGGTGGGTAAACTCTGAATTTTGTGATCATACAGACCTCGATGCGATGCGAAGCAACGCAACACAAAGCGTCGCGACTCTGTAAGGCTGTCCTGGCTATATTGCATTATGTTATCAGTAAAAGTCATATACAATCAATGACAATGAATACATGTGTTAGTAGTTTGTAGTTTATTAAATTTAAGAAAACAGTAAAGAAAAGTATGTCAACACAACACCACAATTGCAGATAAAGGACTATCTACATATGGAGTCACCTTTTTACAGTAGTGCCCAGAGGGCCTCCTTGTCCTCCACGTCAGGTCCTGCCTTGCACAGAGGAGCCATGAACCCCAGAACGTGCGTTCTGGGGTTCATGGATCCTCTGTGCTTCTCCTCTCTCTATTCGACCTGGTGTTTCTCCTCTCCCTGTGCTCTCTGCATCATTGCCTGTCCTATCACTGCCTGAAGAAATATGTTGAATTAAAGAGTTAACCAGTTAAGCAACCTGTCAATTACACTGACAACATGAGTTAAAGGGACACTCATGTACTTGGAACATGAGTGTGTGTGTCATCATAAATAGCCTATACAGCATGTTTTTCTAATCTACGCGTCACCAGGCGTTTTTCTTGTCCTTTTACCGTGCACGACGAGCGAACACAGAGCGCGCGACTGCTACCCCCCGTCGGTAGTTCCGCCCGCAACGACTACTACTACCCCCCCCAACTCCCCCCCCGTCGGACATTTTCGTCCGGTCCATATTGTCTGACATGAAACCGGTCCATGAGGTAAGAAAGGTTGGGGACCACTGGGCTGATCCACAATGTGTGTTTACACACCTCCTGGATTCTGATTGGTGTCGCTGCTGGAGCCGCAAGGCACTGATTGGATGGTCACAGACCGTAATACAGCGCAGATGAACATTCAGACTACGGCGTTTATATGTTCAACAATAGGAAACGTAGTCTTCGCTGTTTTAAAATTACACCAAGTTTATTTTGGATTATTCCAACGGAAGAATACAAGGCGCAGGGAACTTTGAGGTGCGTAAACGCCACTTAGAGGTGCGTAAACGCTATTTATAGGTGCGTAAACGCTATTTCCAAAATCCTAGAGGTGCGTAAACGGCGTTTACGTGCGTTTACCCTCCACTACAGCCCTGGCTGTCATGGGACTCCGTTTAGGCGCGTGTCAACGCATCCCATCACATGCTGGTAATCTGCAAGCACAAGCATGCCAGCGAGCTCATACGTGTACGGTGATTTACTACGATATAAAAATGATATAAAAATTCTGGCTGCCATTACTCTCTTTGTGCTCTCCTCAAGACAAGTGAAACACAGGGAGGCCTAATTTGTCTCCGGTGTTTGCATGTTAAATGTAATTGCAAAATTATTCATTGAAGCCAAATGAGACAATGACACTTTTTTGTGCGATGACTGTGTGTATGCTGCTTATGATGATAGTTAACTGAACAATACAATTCACACAGTCTCACGAGTGGTTTTCTCCACCAATAGAATGTATTATTGTATTATTGTATATTCAAAATATTAATGAAATATACTTTCATTAGTTGACAGTTGTCAAAAAGCTCAATAGAGTAAATGATTGAATAGTAACAAGTGAGGAGTTGTCTTTTAAGGAGAGGATTTCCTTTTAAAGGAAGTTATATATAGTTCTTATATATTATTTTATATATAGGACCTCTTTATGAAGTATTTTTGTCCCAATTTCTTTAAAATTAATTTTATTGAAAAAATATACAAGTATATTTTCCTGTCTACTATCTTGTCAATGTGAACATTGTATTATATTTTACACAGATCTTGGATCCCCCTTATACTTGTGTGTATCTTCATTTGTGTGTTTACTGAACGAGCTTCCTCTCTCACACCTCCCTTCCCGTCTAAGCGCCTTGTGTGTTTGTGTGTGTGTGTATGTGTGTGTCCTTGTCCGCCCGTGCAAATGTGTCTGCGTGTTCTGTGATATTTATTACCGCGGTGTGCCAAGTTCATCATGGTAATTACGTGGGGAACCTCTAGCGTGGGAAGTAACATCTACCATAGAGGAGGCTGCTCTCTCTATTGTAATTGCGGTGGTAAAGCAGGTTGTGCAGGTCGTGGCATCGCCAGCTCTTTGGGAAAAGGCCACACATGGAAACAAGGCCATTATTTGAAGTCCATTTCTTTCCCAAGTGCTTCACACACTGGGATGGATTTATTATAAAGTCCTTTTAGGAATTCCTGTGATAATGATTGGTTCCACTTGCAAAATGCATTATCATTTCCTTTTTTGTTTGTTTGAACATGACTTAATTTCCCCTGATTTTAGACCTATACATATTTTTTGTTGAACTGTTTTTAGGTATTTTATTTATGTGCATTTTTCTAATAAGAAACCATTTTATAGACTAATGATGGTTACAGACTTGCAATGAGGTTGAGCGTTGGTTGCGCCTGGTTTGTATGAAATATGAAGATGCTGTGGATGGAGGGAAAGCTGGATCACGCGGGAGGACAGAACCACTGGTCTTGTGTTTTTTTGATTTCCCCCTCTTTGATTTTGTATTCGTTCTTCAGCACTCTGAGGATGAGGGGGTTGCTCTCTATGGTCCTCTATGGTCTACGCCCCTCCTCCATTGCGATTGGGCGGCTGGGGGAAAAGGTGACAGTGACGAGAGCGCTGCTTTAAACTAAAGTTGAAAAAAGGAGACCATATGCAAATTGCTCAATGCCACGTGTTAACCCGACGGTAACACACTGTAACTGCTGTGGTTCCCCTGCAGTTGGCTCGTCAGTAGCGCTATTACAGTTTTGTTAAGTTATTGAGTTCGCCATTAGCCCAGGCCTGGAGAGAGAGAGTGTGTGTGTGTGTGTGTGTGTGTGTGTCAGTCTGTATGCTCGTCATGTGTGAGTTTCTCCCTCCTTCTCTGAGCTTCGGTCCGAGGCCACAGTTCACCCCTGGCCAGGAATAAACGACAAGTTATGTATTCCTGAGCCTCCTCGTCTTCCTCAGCCTGGCAGCACTTCAGAGCATCTCGCTTCCAGCTTGCATTCACGTTGCCTCCAACCAGCTTCTATTGTTTCTACTGGCCTCGTTTGCCTGTTATTGGCTCATTCTGCATTCTGTTGCTTATAGTCTCTTGCATTGTCTCTTGTATTTTAGTAGGTTCCCATTGTTTTCTGATGGCTCCCTTTGTCACATTGGCTTCTTCACCTTCTCTATTGTTTTTCTTTTTACTTTTATTAAGCAAAGAATCACAATTATCATTTCTCATATAGACATAACATTCTACCTCAATTCTTTTAAAGATTTCCCACCATACTTCGCTACAAGCAACTTATTTATTTGTGAGAGTTTCCAGGCAGGCAGAGGAACTGAAAGTGGCAGCAGCACCAAATCAACATGATCCCTGTCAGGTTACAGTGTGTCACCATCAACAAGATGGTGAAGCGTTCTGGTTCAACTGTGCAGTCTCATGTGTACCAGTTGTAATATATATATATATATATATATATATATATATATATATATATATATATATATATATCTTCTGTGGCTTTCAGTCTTTTTCTATTGTTGTTGTTTACTACAGTATATACCAACGGTAAAAAGAGATTTCCCAAGGTCAGGTTAAGGTCAGCTTTTTTTTTTGATATATATATATATATATAACGGGGGAACTTACTTGTAGTTCAGAACAAGACTATGCAAGCGTAGCGGGAACCTTGTCTGCCAAAAACGTAAATATAAACTGTTGTTGTTTTTGAACGTCTTTCTCATTACCTAGCGGATTACTTGGTAACTGAAGACATGTTCATTTTAAGTTTATTTGTATACAGTAGGCTAACTTTTTACAGCAGTGACAGTAGGATGTATGTGTGTGTGTCCACACAAAAGGTCACCTTCAGTGTTCCCCGACCATTCAATAGGGGGGAATCCCCAAATGTGTGCGGACAGAGAGCACGCGTCAGAAAATTAAGGTGTTGCGTAAAAACGAGAATTGTAAGAAAACGTATGGAATGCAACACATGCAGTGTTGCTTTTGCAACCCGGTAAAACTAGCCCCCACCTCTCACAGTACAGTTATTCTCAAGCAGTTTGCGTTTGTTTTCAGGTTGTTTCCTACTGATATCTACCAACATACAAGACAATGAAGCTATGAAGAAATTAACATAACTTATATTGAATATTCATTTAATATTAATTTATTGCGTGAAGAAAAAACACTGATTCACATTTCAATTTGCTTGTAATTTAGAATTACTTATAAAAGATTTATTTCAAAGTATTTTATTGTAACTACAAGATGAAATACCAAAGTGTTTCTGTTTGGTCTCTTTTCAAAGTCCGACCTACTGTGACATTTCCACTTTTAACCAATAGCACCCGTAATCTTTAGCGTTTCAGTGTAGCGGCGACGTTATCATGCACAAAACACAGTCTTCTTGTGCGTCACTGCATTCTGAGCGGAGAGTTCAGGTTCCCTTTGTGCTGCAGAAGGGCCGTTTGAGGCTATTGTAGGAGAGGAGGAGTCGTACTTAAGATGGAACAACGCGTGTGTCCTTACACATGTGCAACCTCGTGATGGATGGTGAGGAGTGTGTTTGTTTGTCCTGGCCTAACCTTACCCCCCCCAACACCTTCCCCCTCTTCTCTTATACTCTCAACCCTCACCTCTACACACAGACACACACACTCTAACCCTCACCTAACCCATACTAATGAGCACTACAGCCCACTCAGCTTA